TGACTCTACATCCAACAATACCCATGAGAATTTGCAGCTGTAAGAGGTTGGACATTCAGAAGACTGAATAACTATTTGAAACTTATTTTCAGAATTAGCATTTATGCATTCATTTGTTTATTTGATTGATTGATTGATTGATGTTTGTTGTTTTAGTGGTTTTTAATGTGTTGTAGCCAACCTGATATCACGGCAAGACGTGAACATGTGACGATGTACCATGTTGGGAGACGTGAAGATTTCACGATTTCGTCCCTTCAAACGTGACAGTTACACAGTATTGTTAACATGGCCCAACCAGTGGAGATATACCCGGAAATGCCAAGCAAATGCTACCCCGACGGTCGGTTGTTATTGTCAATATTAATATAATAATGATTTATTTAATAGTCACACTCGATTACGCCGATTTTCTTGTCGCCCCAGCTAGAAACAAAGGCTACATTAATGTATTAAATCGATGTTAATCCATGCGTGTGGATGTGGAATTAACGGACGTGACATTGTGTGATTGCGTTGCCAGGCAACAGCTTCGGTTCAAGTTAATTTACAAACTTTTCAACTACAACCGTAGTTATATTTAAAAACATGTTAGAAGGCCTCACGAAATACTTTAATATAAATTAAAATGTAAATGTGAAGGAATGTGTTTATAACAAAATACATCGGTCATAAAAATTACCGGAAAAGGACGTAGGCAAGATCCTGAGCTCCGTGATTCGATGGTTTAGCCGCAATGCACCTTGGGAAATGGTGTTTATGCGATGTGAAATCCGAAAACATTTTTTGAAAATAAAATAATACTTTATTCTGAGTGTGCTTCCTTTTCTCTTTGAAAGTCATCACATAACGGCATTTGTAATACACGGTTCGGCTGCATCAAATATTACATATCTGCCGTAGTTCTCTATTTATAGAGCCCTGCTGAGAAGACTTCTAGGACAAACATGAGAACTGCCGCCAAAACTGAAAACGTGACGTGGATCATAAATATATCAGCAATTAAACAACATCTTACATTTATTTTCACACAATACGTCTCCTTGCAGTATCAACACTAATTCGGCTGACTTTATATTTGATCCAACTGGTAGATAGGCTGTATTTACACCATAACGGTGCACAGCTGATATATATTGAATTGTATTATTATTATTATTAACTAACAGAATAAGAGACCTGACAGGTGATGGTCAGACGTTGACCTGGCTGCACAGTCACAGAAGCTGGCTGTGTCAACTGTTCACACTTCACACCTGTAGAAATAAAAAAAAATGTTATATGACAGATTATCCTGTTAAACAGCAATATAATAAGTGTTGACTCGTGCAGAGAGAGACTCACTTCCGGCTGCCAGCAGCAGCAGAGCTACAGAGAACATGATGATGATGATGATGATGATGATGATGATGATGACTCTGAGAAGACGTGAGCTCCTGATCCCCTTTAATCTCCACTGACAGTCTCATATGAAGGCCTGTATCACAATCGAGATAACTGAGTTTGCATAGAACCAAACACGTTGCATATGAATATGAGTCGGACTGGAGATAGAAAATGGAGCTTGTTATTGTTACTATTACAAGAATACAATCACCTCAGTGTTTAAAGAGTCTAGAATCAACTTCGGATACTTTATTTTTGAAAAAACAGATAATTAACATCTGGAGCTCTTTTAATGTCCTTTTTGATTATTGTTACACCAGGTCTTGTTTAAAAACCTTTATTATATCTCCACTGGTTTGGCCATGTTAACAATACCGTGTAACTGTCACGTTTGAAGGGACGAAATCGTGACATATTAAATTAAATCTATTATTATATTCACTGGTAAAGGTGCAGCTAGTTTGAATGACTTTGTATACTGCAGGGTAGCTTTAACAAGTCTGATTTAACACTTGATTATATTTCACATCATTCATCCACATCTGTAAAGTAACTAAAGGTATTCAATACATGCAGTGGAGTAAAAGTACATCATTTACCTCTGAATTGTAGTAGAAGTACAGAGTAGCATAAAATGGAAATACTGAAGTAAAGTAAAAGTACCTCAAAATTGTACTTAAGTACAGTACTTGAGTGCATCTACTTTTACACAACTGGCTGCATAAGTGCTTCAGCTGTTACGTCACATTGTTTACGGGAAGAATTTATTCTGATATGTCATTAATCCAAAACAAGGTTGTAGTTAAAAAAGTAAATGTCATACTTAAATACATGAGGGAAATCTTCAACCTTTAATTTCAATGCATCATTATTATCGGCTCTTTTAATGAGCGGGTGCAGCTCATTCTCAATTGTCCTATGATAAAAAGTAGGTCATGCCTTAGCACTTACTGGAAGAGCTATTGTTCCCCTTGTACTTTTTAGAACGTCGTGGATGATAAATGGTAATCCGCTGACAGGAAGCCAGCAGGTGCAGAGGAGGAGGGGCAAAGTAAATGTTTCTCCTGGCTTGATTAAAAAAAACATTCTTCATGCTGAGGAGATGACTAACATTGCAGCATGCCAAAGCTCTGCTCATGAGAACAATCACACAAATATGTTTTAATTAAAAGAGGCTCTATTGTGTATTGGGGTTTTCCCTTTCATGTATGTTTTATAGGTTTCTGTGCATTCAAATGGTCTGAAGGCTAAAATCCCTGAGTTCCCTCCAGAAGTTTCTCTCCTGCACACTTGAACATTAAAGCGTGTAAACATGTCACAGTAGAGGCACAACATACAAATAAGGAACTGAAAAAAACCCTGTAATATTTCCTCTGAAAGAGTGTATCTTAAACCAGTGAAAGTATCTTCTTATTACAGACACATGCATTTCCAAAGATTTGGTCTACCTATGTTTTAAATGTATTATCTCTTCGATTTCCACACGGCATCTATTGCACGTCTGTCCGTCCTGGGAGAGGGATCCCTCCTCTGTTGCTCTCCCTGAGGTTTCTCCCATGTTCCCTTTAAACTGTGGGTTTTCTCCGGAAGTGTTTCCTTGTACGATGTGAGGGTCTAAGGACAGAGGGTCTAAGGACAGAGGGTCTAAGGACAGAGGGTGTCGTATTGTCATACTGATATTCTGTACAAACTGTGAAGACCACTCAGACAAATGTAACATTTGTGATATTGGGCTATATAAATAAACATTGATTGATTGATTTAGTTTATGTTCTTAGAATTAGACGCAAGTTCAAATGGTAAATGGACTGAACTGATAAAGCACTCCAGTCTATTGTCCTAATCAGCAGTCAGACAATACAATCCAATAAAGGGGTGCCTAACCCTAATTTTACTTAAACCGATATATTCCTGCACTTTAACTTTATCTGCATATTGAAGTATGAATGCTTGTTGTTTGTATGTTGTCTTCTCCTGAATGTTACACGTCTCTTGTTTGTTTTATTTTTATTTTTGATAGCACCTTAAAAAAAGGAGTAGCTCTACTAATCTCATTGTACCTGTATAATGACAATAAAGGATTCTATTATAACCCTAACCCTAGCTAGTTAGGTTCATTTCAAAAAGGTACAAGGAACTTGCTTTGCTGTACAATGGTGCATACTAAGATGCAATAAGAGGAATACATTTGATAACTAGACGAAAAATAAAGCATTTTTAGAATAACTTTCATGAAATTGAAAACAATGCTGAGAAAAAAGCTGAGTATGCCAAACAATACAGATGTGATTGTTCACATATTAGTCCAAGCGTTTGTAAATTAAACAAGCTAGAGTCAGTTTTAAGTCAGTTTAATACGTTTAGATATGTAAAGGGGTCAACGTTACAAAAGTGCATGTTTTGCCACGTAAAATGCAATTAAAGATATTTAGGAAAGTTTAATTTCGTAAAATAGGACAGTTGTTGCACAACACAGTAAACAAAACACATACAAGACACAATTTAATCGCTGAACAAATAACAAAAACAATTCCCTTGCCTCAATCTACTGTATCATCAAATAGAAAACATGTGTCACTTTGTTATGTTCTTCACGCCTTTCAGTGTCTGAGTAAACGCAACTCTTACAAAAACCTGTTTTTAGGCATGGTGTTTATCAAGAGAGATGTTCCTGTAAATTAAAACAAAAGAGCTTCCTCGTTATTATATATATCGCCTAACTTTCTTGTTAATTTATTTATTGTTATTGCTTGACTTCAATACAGATAAGTGTTATAATTTGAGCTCAACAACAATCCACTTTATGAGAACGTCTGCAGCTCGCATGTGATGCAGGAGACGTGTGTTACTTTTACAGAATCAAATATATATGTTTGAACCAATTTATAAAATACAAAATGTTGAATATTTAATGTCACAACATGTGCGGATTTTTATACTACCGCCACATCCTGATTACACTGAAAAAATGGAAACATTGACTTTAATGAAATGTATTATGTCAACAGATTTCACACAGCTGTATTAGGTTAGTTGAAAGCAAGTAATACAATAAAGTTGAACCAATTTAAACGTAATATTATTGCCTTCAACTAACCTAATACAGGTATGTGAAATCCATTGACATAATACATTTAATTAAAGACAACCTGTCAGTGTTTGTCAGTGTATATTATAAAATATTAACCATAGATAGAATAGGGTTAGCTTTTTTGTACATATGTACAAAAATATATGCATCGTTTTTGAAACTGCAGCGTCTCTCCTAATGTAGTGCAATGCAATGTTAACACTGTAGCATTGGATGTCATTTTATTCTGATCATGGGGTATAAATCATTTTGAACCTCTGTATATTCTCACACAGTGGATGACACAGACTTATCAGATGAATCTTCATTAAAACTTAGCTTTCAGTGTAATTGTTGTGCAGAACAGGAATGCCTTCGCTTTTGTCCTTGCACGTAATGGCTTTTGCTTTCATTGTGGTTTCACAAGCAATGTTGGGCAGTGCCAATAGTTCGACTGCATTCTTTATAATTCTGGTAAATATGATTGTGAAATATTGTGAATATATTTCCTTGTAGAAGAGTATTTAAGATGCAATGAGCCTGATGAGAGGACACCCAGGAAGATGGCTTCTCTCACTCTGTATCTGCTGCAGGTGCTGCTGCTGCTCGTGGTTTCTGCTGCCGCCTGGAACCTGGACTCAAACTACTTAAGCTTCTATGGTGGATCAATGAGCTTCACGCCTAAAGGACAGAATTCAGATGGGACGTATAAGGTAAGTTGGCAAAAATATTATATATAATGTTGAAAATATATGTTTTTTTTCAAATACATATATCCGTAAGGGTGAAGATATTTTTTTAAAAAGGACATTTCGACCATAATATTTTTAGAGGATTTTTGTGCACTCATGACGCATTGCTAGTGTGCATGGACTTGGACTGCACTATCTGGCACTACACTTGTCTGACTACCCAGAATAATAACCATTCTGAGCTCTGTTAAGTGCCTCGATAAACATTCATCTGTTTGTCATCTTGTAATTTACTTATTTATCTAAATAGTTATCACCATAATAAACCATATTTCATTTAATCTTACTGTACAATATTTTATTTTACATTCTGTTCTTGTATATCATATTCTATTTACGTATATAGACTTCTTGCACCATTTTATTTTTTTATTTTATTGGAGGAGCTCGGGTCATAAGATGTTCATTGCCCTTTCTACATTGTAGCTTATGTCCATATGACATTAAAACCTTTGAATCTGAATCTTGAAATCTGTTGTCACCAATTGCTATTGACCTGGTATTTTTCTTCATCAATGTAATGACCTTTGATAATCTAATCACTGCTGCATATTCTTTACAGCTGGAACTCCGCAACAAACAGTCAACATACATGTGTAACCCCTACTCTGACTACTTCTGTGGTATTGGTGGCTGTGGATCTATCACCAATAGCAGTGTCCAACATAACAATATGAGTTCCCATGGTATTAACTGGTGCACAGCCGACATAAAGAAAGAACTAAAACTCCACAGCAACACCCCCTTCGAGATCAGGTGAGATATTACTTATACACTGGAAAAAATGCTGCTCTAAAAACAAGTGAAACAATAATGAAAACAAGCGGTTTCACTTGAAATAAGAACAACAATTGTAAATTTGCTTGGTTAGAGAACTTGAAATAAGATGGGATATTTAGATAAATCACATCTTAGCTGGGAGAACTAATTTTGAACTATATTTGACCAGAATTAGGAAATGCTGTTACAATATAAGCCGCTAATGCTCAAAAGTGGTCTGTTTTCTGATGTTAGTTGGTGAGTTTCTAAGAAATATGCAAAAATAAATATGTGTTTAATCTGAGATACAACTCGAAATAAGATTATGTGAGTTAACAAGATAATGCATTGTCTAAAAACAAGACCCGATATCTCACTGTAGAGTTACTTCTGAATGTATTATGTAATATACAGTATCAGGTGTAAAGACATATTCTAGACTAGATATTAAACAAAAATACTTGGCAAGATTTCGAGTTGTTGCAGTGTTTCTTCAGCAAAATCATGACAGTGTAAATGAAACGTTCATATCGTACACTTTTGTCATTATTATAGAAAAAAACATATAGTTTAGAGGTTATCTGATTGTGACACCGAGTAACATCGCAGTGATAATGTTGAAGATATCGCTAAAATGCTAATTATTCAACATTGTCTTCAAACAGATTCCCAGGTCGGGTCATTCCTTCACTTGGTCTGGGCCACTGGGCGACGGACACGATGAACACATGGAAAATGATGGGCCATGTGGATCTGGGATCCCGGTCTGATACTGGAGAATCAAACAGAATGCCTGTCACTACCATGCTGCCTCTTCTCAGGTATAGTCCCTATCTTTTTAATATGGCTTTTCATTTGGGTTAACTTTCGATTCTCACTGGAATCATTGTCCGTGTTTCACTGTGTTCTTTCTGTATTGCTTTTATTTTACTTTTTTTTATTTGATGTTTTTATTGTTTTATTTTAAAGGTCCCTTCATCAATATATTATAGGTCTCAGATATATATATAAAACATGTCTCTGAAGTGTTTGTCTGAAACACCAAACCATTGCAGCATTACCCATAGTCCCCTCTGTTTCAGCCCTGTTTCCAAAGTGCTGATTCTCTGTTACTTTAGATGAAAATAAGGAGCCCCTCCCCACGCCCCTCTGAGAGAGATTTGGTTACAAAGAACTCAATGGTGCTCTAGGAGGAGATTCAGGTGATAAGGGGGGGGGGGGGGGTTACCTTGGTTGGTGATTGGCTAATGGTTACACAAGACAACACATCGTTATGACATCATCAAGTGGCCAAAATCTGATCAGCTCATTTTCAGACAGGTTTTTATAGAAATGGATCAAAAAGAGAGAGAATCTTTGTTCCTGAAACTTTCAGAGTCTCTTTCCACAGAGGGGACACTTTAGAAGAGACATGAAGAAGAGGGGACACATGTTGATGTAGAAGAGACATGAAGAAGAGGGGACACATGCTGATGTAGAAGAGACATGAAGAAGAGGGGACACATGCTGATGTAGAAGAGACACGAAGAAGAGGGGACACATGGTTGATGTAGAAGAGACATGAAGAAGAGGGGACACATGTTGATGTAGAAGAGACATGAAGAAGAGGGGACACATGTTGATGTAGAAGAGACATGAAGAAGAGGGGACACATGTTGATGTTGAAGAGACATGAAGAAGAGGGGACACATGTTGATGTAGAAGAGACATGAAGAAGAGGGGACACATGCTGATGTAGAGACATGAAGAAGAGGGGACACATGTTGATATAGAAGAGACATGAAGAAGAGGGGACACATGTTGATGAAGAAGAGGGGACACATGTTGATGAAGAAGAGACATGAAGAAGAGGGGACACATGTTGATGTAGAAGAGACATGAAGAAGAGGGGACACATGCTGATGTAGAAGAGACATGAAGAAGAGGGAGACACATGTTGATGTAGAAGAGACATGAAGAAGAGGGGACACATGTTGATGTAGAAGAGACATGAAGAAGAGGGGACACAATGTTGATGTAGAAGAGACATGAAGAAGAGAGGGGGACACAGTTGATGTAGAAAGATGAAGAACGAGGGGACACAATGTTGATGTAGAAGAGACATGAAGAAGAGGGGACACATGTTGATGTAGAAGATACATGAAGAAGAGGGGACACATGTTGATGTAGAAGAGACATGAAGAAGAGGGGACACATTGTTGATGTAGAAGAGACATGAAAGAAGAGGGGACACATGTTGATGTAGAAGAGACATGAAGAAGAGGGGACACATGTTGATGTAGGAAGAGACATGAAGAAGAGGGGACACATGTTGATGTAGAAGAGACATGAAGAAGAGGGGACCATGTTGATGTAGAAGAGACATGAAGAAGAGGGGACACATGTTGATGTAGAGAAGAGACATGAAGAAGAGGGGACACATGTTGATGTAGAAGAGACATGAAGAAGAGGGGACACATGTTGATGTAGAAGAGACATGAGAAGAAGGGACACATGTTGATGTAGAAGAGACATGAAGAAGAGGGGACACATGTTGATGTAGAAGAGACATGAAGAAGAGGGGACACATGTTGATAGTAGAAGAGACATGAAGAAGAGGGGACACATGTTGATTAGAAGAGACTGAGAAGAGGGGACACATGTTTGATGTAGAAGAGACATGAAGAAGAGGGGACACATGTTGATGTAGAAGAGACATGAAGAAGAGGGGACACATGTTGATGTAGAAGAGACATGAAGAAGAGGGGACACATGTTGATGTAGAAGAGACATGAAGAAGAGGGGACACATGTTGATGTAGAAGAGACATGAAGAAGAGGGACCATGTTGATGTAGAAGAGACATGAAGAAGAGGGGACACATGTTGATGTAGAAGAGACATGAAGAAGAGGGGACACATGTTGATGTAGAAGAGACATGAAGAAGAGGGGACACATGTTGATGTAGAAGAGACATGAAGAAGAGGGGACACATGTTGATGTAGAAGAGACATGAAGAAGAGGGGACACATGTTGATATGTAGAAGAGACATGAAGAAGAGGGGACACATGCTTGATGTAGAGACATGAAGAAGAGGGGACACATGTTGATAGTAGAAGAGACATGAAGAAGAGGGGACACATGTTGATGTAGAAGAGACATGAAGAAGAGGGGACACATGTTGATGTAAGAAGAGACATGAAAGAAGAGGGGACACATGTTGATGTAGAAGAGACATGAAGAAGAGGGGACACATGTTGATGTAGAAGAGACATGAAGAAGAGGGGACACATGTTGATGTAGAAGAGACATGAAGAAGAGGGGAACACATGTTGATGTAGAAAGAGACATGAAGAAGAGGGGACACATGTTTGATGTAGAAGAGACATGAAGAAGAGGGGACACATGTTGATGTAGAAGAGACATGAAGAAGAGGGGACACATTTGATGTAGAAGAGACATGAAGAAGAGGGGACACATGTTGATGTAGAAGAGACATGAAGAAGAGGGGACACATGTTGATGTAGAAGAGACATGAAGAAGAGGGGACACATGTTGATGTAGAAGAGACATGAAGAAGAGGGGACACATGTTGATGTAGAAGAGACATGAAGAAGAGGGGACACATGTTGATGTAGAGAGACAAGAAGAAGAGGGAGGACACATGTTGATGTAGAAGAGACATGAAGAAGAGGGGACACATGTTGATGTAGAAGAGACATGAAGAAGAGGGGACACATGTTGATGTAGAAGAGACATGAAGAAGAGGGGACACATGTTGATGTAGAGAGACATGAAGAAGAGGGGACACATGTTGATGTAGAAGAGACATGAAGAAGAGGGGACACATGTTGATGTAGAAGAGACATGAAGAAGAGGGGACACATGTTGATGTAGAAGAGACATGAAGAAGAGGGGACACATGTTGATGTAGAAGAGACATGAAGAAGAGGGGACACAATGTTGATGTAGAAGACATGAAAGAGAGGGACATTAGAGACATGAAGAAGAGGGGACACATGTTGATGTAGAAGAGACATGAAGAAGAGGGGACACATGTTGATGTAGAAGAGACATGAAGAAGAGGGGACACATGTTGATGTAGAAGAGACATGAAGAAGAGGGGACACATGTTGATGTAGAAGAGACATGAAGAAGAGGGGACACATGTTGATGTAGAAGAGACATGAAGAAGAGGGGACACATGTTGATGTAGAAGAGACATGAAGAGAGGGGACACATGTTGATGTAGAAGAGACATGAAGAAGAGGGGACACATGTTGGTGTAGAAGAGACATGAAGAAGAGGGGACACATGTTGATGTAGAAGAGACATGAAGAAGAGGGGACACATGTTTGATGTAGAAGAGACATGAAGAAGAGGGGACACATGTTGATGTAGAAGAGACATGAAGAAGAGGGGGACACATGTTGATGTAGAAGAGACATGAAGAAGAGGGGACACATGTTGATGATAGAAGAGACATGAAGAAGATGGGGACACATGCTGATGTAGAGACATGAAGAAGAGGGGACACATGTTGATTAGAAGAGGACATGAAGAAGAGGGGACACATGTTGATGTAGAAGAGACATGAAGAAGAGGGGACACATGTTGATTGTAGAAGAGACATGAAGAAGAGGGGACACATGTTGATGTAGAAGAGACATGAAGAAGAGGGGACACATGTTGATGTAGAAGAGACATGAAGAAGAGGGGACACATGTTGATGTAGAAGAGACATGAAGAGAGGAAGACACAAGTTGGTGTAGAAGAGACATGAAAGAAGAGGGGACACATGCTGATGTAGAGACATGAAGAAGAGGGGACACATGTTGATATAGAAGAGACAGAAGAAGAGGGGACACATGTTGATGTAGAGAGACATGAAGAAGAAGGGGACACAATGTTGATGTAGAAGAGACATGAAGAAGAGGGGACACATGTTGATGTAGAAGAGACATGGAGAAGAGGGGACACAGGTTGATGTAGAAGAGACATGAAGAAGAGGGGACACATGTTGATGTAGAAGAGACATGAAGAAGAGGGGACACATGTTGATGTAGAAGAGACATGAAGAAGAGGGGACACATGTTGATGTTGAAGAGACATGAAGAAGAGGGGACACATGTTGATGTAGAAGAGACATGAAGAAGAGGGGACACATGCTGATGTAGAGACATGAAGAAGAGGGGACACATGTTGATAGTAGAAGAGACATGAAGAAGAGGGGACACATGTTGATGTAGAAGAGACATGAAGAAGAGGGGACACATGTTGATGAAGAAGAGACATGAAGAAGAGGGGACACATGTTGATGTAGAAGAAACATGAAGAAGAGGGGACACATGCTGATGTAGAGACATGAAGAAGAGGGGACACATGTTGATATAGAAGAGACATGAAGAAGAGGGGACACATGTTGATGTAGAAGAGACATGAAGAAGAGGGGACACATGTTGATGTAGAAGAGACATGAAGAAGAGGGGACACATGTTGATGTAGAAGAGACATGAAGAAGAGGGGACACATGTTGATGTAGAAGAGACATGAAGAAGAGGGGACACATGTTGATGTAGAAGAGACATGAAGAAGAGGAGACACATGTTGATGTAGAAGAGACATGAAGAAGAGGGGACACATGCTGATGTAGAGACATGAAGAAGAGGGGACACATGTTGATATAGAAGAGACATGAAGAAGAGGGGACACATGTTGATGTTGAAGAGACATGAAGAAGAGGGGACACATGTTGATGTAGAAGAGACATGAAGAAGAGGGGACACATGTTGATGTAGAAGAGACATGGAGAAGAGGGGACACAGGTTGATGTAGAAGAGACATGAAGAAGAGGGGACACATGTTGATGTAGAAGAGACATGAAGAAGAGGGGACACATGTTGATGTAGAAGAGACATGAAGAAGAGGGGACACATGTTGATGTAGAAGAGACATGAAGAAGAAGGGACACATGTTGATGTAGAAGAGACATGAAGAAGAGGGGACACATGTTGATGTAGAAGAGACATGAAGAAGAGGGGACACATGTTGATGTAGAAGGACATGGAGAAGAGGGGACACAGGTTGATGTAGAAGAGACATGAAGAAGAGGGGACACATGTTGATGTAGAAGAGACATGAAGAAGAGGGGACACATGTTGATGTAGAAGAGACATGAAGAAGAGGGGACACATGTTGATGTAGAAGAGACGTGAAGAAGAGGGGACACATGTTGATGTAGAAGAGACGTGAAGAAGAGGGGACACATGTTGATGTAGAAGAGACGTGAAGAAGAGGGGACACATGTTGATGTAGAAGAGACGTGAAGAAGAGGGGACACATGCTGATGTAGAGACATGAAGAAGAGGGGACACATGTTGATATAGAAGAGACATGAAGAAGAGGGGACACATGTTGATGTAGAAGAGACATGAAGAAGAGGGGACACATGTTGATGTAGAAGAGACATGGAGAAGAGGGGACACATGTTGATGTAGAAGAGACATGAAGAAGAGGGGACACATGTTGATGTAGAAGAGACATGAAGAAGAGGGGACACATGTTGATGTAGAAGAGACATGAAGAAGAGGGGACACATGTTGATGTAGAAGAGACATGAAGAAGAGGGGACACATGTTGATGTAGAGGAGACATGAAGAAGAGGGGACACATGTTGATGTAGAAGAGACATGAAGAAGAGGGGACACATGTTGATGTAGAAGAGACATGAAGAAGAGTGGACACATGTTGATGTAGAAGAGACATGAAGAAGAGGGGACACGTGTTGATGTAGAAGAGACATGAAGAAGAGGGGACACATGTTGATGTAGAAGAGACATGAAGAAGAGGGGACACATGTTGATGTAGAAGAGACATGAAGAAGAGGGGACACATGTTGATGTAGAAGAGACATGAAGAAGAGGGGACACGTGTTGATGTAGAAGAGACATGAAGAAGAGGGGACACGTGTTGATGTAGAAGAGACATGAAGAAGAGGGGACACATGTTGATGTAGAAGAGACATGAAGAAGAGGGGACACATGTTGATGTAGAAGAGACATGAAGAAGAGGGGACACATGTTGATGTAGAAGAGACATGAAGAAGAGGGGACACATGTTGATGTAGAAGAGACATGAAGAAGAGGGGACACATGTTGATGTAGAAGAGACATGAAGAAAAGGGGACACATGTTGATATAGAAGAGACATGAAGAAGAGGGGACACATGTTGATGTAGAATAGACATGAAGAAGAGTGGACACATGTTGATGTAGAAGAGACATGAAGAAGAGTGGACACATGTTGATGTAGAAGAGACATGAAGAAGAGGGGACACGTGTTGATATAGAAGAGACATGAAGAAGAGGGGACACATGTTGATGTAGAAGAGACATGAAGAAGAGGGGACACGTGTTGATGTAGAAGAGACATGAAGAAGAGGGGACACATGTTGATGTAGAAGAGACATGAAGAAGAGGGGACACATGTTGATGTAGAAGAGACATGAAGAAGAGGGGACACATGTTGATGTAGAAGAGACATGAAGAAGAGGGGACACATGTTGATGTAGAAGAGACATGAAGAAGAGGGGACACATGTTGATATAGAAGAGACATGAAGAAGAGGGGACACATGTTGATATAGAAGAGACATGAAGAAGAGGGGACACATGTTGATGTGGAAGAGACATGAAGAAGAGGGGACACATGTTGATATAGAAGAGACATGAAGAAGAGGGGACACATGTTGATGTAGAAGAGACATGAAGAAGAGGATTTTGCACAATAGGTGACCTTTAATTTCTTGTCAGCTTTACTTCAAAGGAATTTCATTCGGCTGTTAATGTTTTACCTTGTTCTCTATTTATTTTAATATTGTTGTTATGTTTTATTCTTGCTCTGTAGTCTGCACTTTGGCTGCGTTGTGCATGAAAGGTGCTCTACAAATAAAGTGTATTATTATTATTTTGAATTGGTGGTTGCTGTTTTGTTCAGCCACATGGATGCGTACAATACACTTAATATCAGCTCGAACTAACTTTTTTTAGACATTATCTTTGCTTTAAGTTATAATTTAAGGGATATTGTGCAGAAAGGCGAACATTAATGAAATATAACATCACATTAAAAACACTAAACATCACGGGAACATTTGTCAATCAACTTGGACGTTAGAGCGAAGGGAACATTCTACGGATCTTCAGGGTTTCTTTGGGCACCAAGGATATGTGATTTCCTGGCAATCCAACCAATAGTGCAACCCTTGTTGTGGTCCTTGAACCATGAATACCTGTAAAAAGTGTCATAGCAATCAGTAGTTGAAATATACTGCATCGGTCAAAAGAGCCATGTCGCAAACATTGCAGAAAAGATCAACTGTATAGTATTGTATTGTATTGTATCAACTGTGTGAATGAACCTTTAAAATCATACAAATAATTCCAATTCCAAAGAAATCCAACAACAAATGTATAATATCGGAATTTGTTGACTTTATTGTCATTTACTGATTCATTTGATTAACATGTTACAGAGTATCCAAGAGCTGCCCACGATCCTTCAAAATCCCAACGTTTGACCATGATGGTGACAACGTCAGATGCAGGGTACCAACAATGTCAAATGGATATGAGTGTGGGATATGTCGCCTGCCTCAAGGTTTCTCTTTCGATATGGTAAGGAATCAGCCAAAGTTAAGAATTACAATCAATCGAGAAATTCAGCTTAAAATGTGATTTTCAAACGTAAATTCCTGATTGGCCCCCACAGAGCTTTCAATAATAATAAAATACATCAAATGATATCCTGAAATTGTTTCACTGTAAATGTGAAAACTGTCTTTCTTTGTTTTTTAAGAATTCCTGCACCCTGCAGTATACATACAGTTCTCAAACTGGAAACCAACCCATTGAGCTTGTTGTGGAGGACTTTCCCAACAGCCCCATTCAGCTGCACTACTCTGATGGAACCTACACAGATAAGCTCCCCTTTACAATGAGGAGGGATAAACGCCAGTACTATGACCACTACTACGGAACAACAACAGCAGCTCCAACAACAGCTCAACCAACAACAGTTGCACCAACAACAGCTGCTCCAACAACAGTTGCACCAACAACAGTTGCACCAACAACAGCTGCACCAACAACAGCTGCTCCAACAACAGCTGCACCAACAACAGCTGCACCAACAACAGTTGCACCAACAACAGTTGCACCAACAACAGTTGCACCAACAACAGCTGCTCCAACAACAGTTGCACCAACAACAGTTGCCTCCAACAACAGTTGCTCCAACAACAGCTGCTCCAACAACAGTTGCTCCAACAACAGTTGCTCCAACAACAGCTCAACCAACAACAGCTCAACCAACAACAGCTCAACCAACAACAGTTGCACCAACAACAGTTGCACCAACAACAGTTGCACCAACAACAGTTGCACCAACAACAGTTGCACCAACAACAGCTGCTCCAACAACAGCTCCAACAACAGCTCAACCAACAACAGCTCAACCAACAACAGTTGCACCAACAACAGTTGCACCAACAACAGCTGCTCCAACAACAGTTGCTCCAACAGCAGCTCAACCAACAACAGTTGCACCAACAACAGTTGCTCCAACAACAGTTGCACCACAACAGTTGCACACCAACAACAGTTGCACCAACAACAGTTGCACCAACAACAGTTGCTCCAACAACAGTTGCTCCAACAACAGTTGCACCAACAACAGTTGCTCCAACAACAGTTGCTCCAACAACAGTTGCACCAACAACAGTTGCACCAACAACAGTTGCACCAACAACAGCTGCTCCAACAACAGTTGCTCCAACAGCAGCTCAACCAACAACAGTTGCACCAACAACAGCTGCTCCAACAACAGTTGCACCAACAACAGCTGCCCAACAACACCTTGCACCAACAACAGCTTTGCATCCAACAACAGCTTGCTCCAACAACAGTTGCACCAACAACAGCTGTCCAACAACAGCTTGCTCCAACAACAGCTGCTCCAACATTGCACCACACAGTCTGCACCAACAACAGCTCTGCCACCAACATGCACCACAACAGTTGCATCCAACAACAGCTGCACCAACAACAGCTGCTCCAACAACAGTTGCACCAACAACAGCTGCTCCAACAACAGCTGCTCCAACAACAGCTGCTCCAACAACAGCTGCACCAACAACAACAGCTGATCCTTACAGAAGGACAATTGCTGCTTTGAGCAAGCTTTCTCTGCTGTTTAGTGTTCAAGGTGAGGCAAACATTTTCTTTTTTTAATATAGGCATTTACTACGGTGGCCATCAGGGGCCAACTCGCTACAACAGCCTCAAAACACTAACAATAGGAGAAACCCACAGCATCTTCAAATACGATGCAAACGAAGAAACATCTTCACCAATTTGACAACACATGCACAGCGTTTAGAAAACATTCCCCAACTTGACGAAACATGGTTTCCATTGTGTTTGGAGCTTCGTGCAGCATTTTTCATTTGCAGTGTTTGCAACGTTTTGTTTATTTTTAGTCTGACTTACAGGATGTATTCAGTCAGGCTTCTGCATTGGACTTAAAAGGAGGGCTACATTTTGGCTAAGGACTGTTTGAACACAATCTTTTAAATAGTTTTTCTATTTTATTGTCAATAAATGTCACATTAAATTATTTCAGGTTGTGTATTTTGTAGTCGTGGCAACTGTCTGCAAAGTATACTGATTTAATCCACAAGAGAGTCTTGATGCTCTCTGCAATTAGGTAGAAAATATGCATGGATTTAAATTCACCTCAGGAAAAAATGTAATATTGTACGATGCTTATGCATATAGTAATAACACCGATTGGAATATTAACATTCAATCCATGTAATCCTTTTTCTCTTCTCTCCCCTGACCTTTAGTGGACTCATACTCTCCCCCTTCATGCCTTGATGGTGATTACTTTCCCATTTTCTTGGCGCCAACTCCGAGCAATGGGGTGGATCTTCCTGCGTTTGTTAACCAAACCCTCAACATCAAAGTCAAATCCAGAGCCCAATATTCCACGTAAGGAAATATAATGTTAAATATAATGTCTATTTTAGCAGCAATATAACAATGAACAAGCTTCTCCTGGATCTCATTTATGATAAATTACTTGTTTTAACTTTATTAAACAAATAATGTTTCCCATTTCAAGTTATAATACAGTGTTCTCTATCTCTCTAGGATTCATAACTTGATTGTTACTGGACCAATGGGCATTTCGAAAGAGAATATCTCCGCAGAAGAATATATCATAAAATGGACACCAACTGAAAATGAACTGAACGAACATTTTCCTATTTGCTTTGTTTCTGAAGCAATTGACGAGTGAGTTTTAAGTCAATCAGGTTAAATAAGAATACTACACTTGCACCCATTCAATATTTTTATAAAATATCTACTTTGTCTATTTTCCGTTGAGAAATTCCCTGATAAACCATTCATATAATTTATACTATCTATATTTCATTTCAAGATGGGGCCGAGTCTTTCAATCCGAGCTACGCTGTGTCATTGTAGATGTCGGACACTATGGTTAGTTAACTTTTTCTTCCATTGATCATTTATGTAGACCATGATTATGTCCAATACATTTGATATTAAGTGGATGGATGTCAAGTTTTAAAGCCTGGAGATTTACACTGATTATATGAGTACAAATAAATACATGTTACCGATTTCTAGAGACCAAAGTGACATGCAGTGAAACAACAATGACGGTGGAAGTGGAGAAGTCCTACCTTATCAGACACCATGAGGACAACTTGCATCTGAAAGCCTTGGGCGATTCTTCCTGCGACCTGTCAACGCGCTCCAACGCGACCCACCTGGTGGCGGTCATGTCGCTAAATGCATGTGGAACCTTTGTAGAGGTACACAACAACTCGCTTTTCTTAAAAGGACGTTTGGCTGAACACATCCGCATATTTCTTTGCTTGATGTAAAACAAAAACGGTTAGGCTAGGGCTATCACAATATCAGACCTTCACAACACCATTTTCTTGGCCAAAAGGAAATATGGAATAATGGTTTATTGTGCATTTTGTCCCTTTTTGTCAAATTAACAATGCTCCAAATAGGAGTGTTGGGGGGTAGAAAGAAAAATACACGTTTAACAGCATGTATTACTTATCTGCTCGGTTACTTACAATAACATCACAAGTAACAGAAACAAAACAACACAAACCTCCAAAACAGCAACTTCACATCATAATTCAAAAGGTTTTACTCAATCTTTGTTGTGGCTAATATTCCTACATTACTTGCCACTTGAGTCGTTTTGCTAGAAAGAAAATGAAGTTCTTGGTTAGCACAACTACCCAATTTTAGTCTAGTTTTTAGTTTTCATGATTGAGCCCCAATAGTTAAAATATGTTTTCCTCTAGAGAGTGAACTAAATGCAGCATGCCTTGTGGTCAGAATACTTTATTCATGTTGGCAAAAGCTGATTGATTTTCATTCAGACACCTAAATAAGTGCTAACTCTACTAGCTGGAGAATAGTTTATAGAGTATATAAATCTATGTATTTGTATCTCATAACACCATCTACTTATGTCTTGTTGTGTTAAAGACTGTTGCTTCCTCTCTTAATTTAATTATCTTCCATTTTTAGGAGAAAGACGACAACATCATCTTCAAGAACGAGATCACATCTGCTAACCCGCTAGATATAATTACCAGGCAGCACGACGTTGAGATCGTCTTCTTCTGCTGCTATCCAAAGCAAACCAACTTGACCCTGGGATTCACGCACAAAAACCCGTACGCCTTCCAAGATAAGGGATTCGGTGCATTCACATTCCAGTTTGAATTTTTTGAAACCCAGCGTTTCCAAAAACAAGTTGACTCCAACGTTTACCCAGTGGAGGTGTACCTCAAACAGAGGATGTTCATGCAGATCGAAGCGACCACCTCCATCCCCAACACTGAGCTGTTTGTGGAGACCTGCAAGGCGTCTCCATATGACAACACCAACTCTCAAATCAGCTACACCATCATCGAAAACGGGTAGGGTATCTACTCACCAAAGAGGCATTTGTTTGATCCATATGAGAAATGCCTTCATTTATTCTAATAAACCGTTGTATCAACATTAACAGGTGCATGAGGGACGACACGGTTACAATCTACCCTAGCCCCAAGACTCACTTCAGATTTGGAATGGAGGCTTTTGAGTTCATCGGTGCTCATGAATCGGTAAGGTTACTTTTTCTGAAACACAAAAGTATTTAGTCAAAATATTATACGTCTATCATCAGTACGTTGGAACTAGCAAAAAATATAAGTATACATTTATTTGGAATAAGTATTTGTACCAGAGCAATAGATAAGGAAAGTAACCAAATGTATATACTGTGCTTATTGTAAATGACTTGTACTGTAGTGTGCATATTGTGGTACAGGGATGACATATATTGTTGTTTGCCAATATGGAATTTGGCAGTGCACTGGTCGCCTCAACAACAAACTATGGGAACTTTCCTTTGGCTTTTGGAATATTCGTGGAAAGTTAAATGTTATGAGACTTACACGGTTTGATCAGCAGGACTATCTCCACATATTATCACAACCTTACGTTTTTTTTATTATACAAAGCTAACGTTAGGCTATAAAAGAACTACCGAATGGTTATATGACTTCAAGTCACCTCCGCTAAGCTAAAGGCGGCTAAGGTTGGGCGTGATTACGTTTAATCATCTCTTTTAGACACTTGTTAGAAACCGCTGTTTTTTTATTCACCAGTGGGGTATTTACTGATGTATTTTAACGTTCCAGGCATTTAATAACAAAACTGACTTTGAGACAAGCTTATTTATTAAGATATTAGGAATGGTTACTTTACCTATTTATTAAGTTTATACTTTGTGAAGAATGTACAAATGGCTTTTCTTTAGTTGACTGACTTTACCTCCATCTGTCTGCAGGTGTACATCACTTGCACCGTCATCCTGTGTCAGACTGGCGTTCCAGGGACCAGGTGCTCTCAGGGATGTATCCAATCCAACTCAGGCAGAAGAAGAAGGGAAGCTGGGGCCGAGTCCTCCAGCCACTCCATTTCCCAGGGACCTTTGCGCCTGGCTAACATTTCAGACAGCAAATGTAAGTGTCCACATCCACAGCTGCACAAACTACATCCTACAAAGTTTCAACCAATACTGAACTTTATGACGATAGGTGTCCCTAGTGAACTGGCACACACACATAGCACCACCCATTGTAATCAGCCCGAAAAAAATGGCTGTTATCACAATCATTATGTTGTGAAATGCTAACATTTTCAAAATTGTGCTTCATTCATTTGGTGCTTCAGTAAAATATCATGGTTTTGTTTGTTATATAACTTAGGTGAGATACATAAGTTAAGTACCTCTCGTAAGTTGAAATAACATGTAGTATTTTGGTTTAACTACGGGACACGGACAAGGGTATCTTGGTTGAAAGCCCTGTTCATTGACCCATACTTCCAAACCAACCTTTTCTCCTCTGCGGACTTTGTTCTTTATCATAGATATAATACAAATGTTCTCTAGGATCCGGGTTCTCCTCCTGGTTATGCAGCTCACTAAATATGCCCAATAGTGGACAAGCCACCATAAGATTATTCAATACACTGTGATTATGTAGTTTGACTCATCTACAGGGATATGATTCAGATCAATCCAATATTTTGTATGAAACAAATATATGAAGGTAATGGTTGTCTTTTTCTTGTTCTTCCATTTCAGTATCTGGTCCGAGCATGAGTCTTGGCATGAACATCCTCCTTGTTGCCGGCTGCTTCCTGGTATGCGGAGCAGTAATCTATCGTTCAAGGAGGTCCAGAGCTAAATACATGCCCCTGCCATCCTTTGAGTCAGACTAAACACAGAAATGCCCTTTTGAACTTCCCTGATTATAAGAAAGATGATCAGATACTGTGTAATGTTTACTATAGTCCATGTGTTTAGGGTATTGGTGGTTTGAATCATTGTCTCACTGTCTAACAGTGTGTCTTTGCTTTTACATGGGTGAAAGACTCATTCATTATTGAGGTTTGATACAATCAATGTGGAATATAGTTTTTCGTGGGCAGTTTTTCACACCCCAGCGGACAGTCAGAACATCTGTGAAAGAAAGGAGGCATAGTTTTTTTTTATGAAGGAGTCCACAAATGAATCTCTGTGGACATGAAGTATCTGCAGTTCAATCAAAGTTATACACTTTTCTTCAATTACTTTAAATCCAGGACATGGGACACCGATGTGACATATTATCAAGGTTAATAGGGGGACAAAGTAAAGCAACAAGAAGGTAACAATGATTAAAAAGCACACCTTTATATACCTTCCAAGTGCATGATAATAATGGTTATAAGAAAAACTAAATAAAAATACTTTGAAAAACAAATAAATGTTTTGGTTGTTGATTCCAACAATGTATGTTAATTAAAAAGCAATACACCAGTCATCTGACTATTTGGAATTGCTCTACTTCTTATTAAATTGTTCAATGGTCCACAGTATGTGTCTCATATATGTCAACTTTAAAATCACTTTCATTATGTCCCTCCCTTTCTCTGCACTGTGGATTGGTTATTTGGAAATAGTATACACGTTATTTATTTAAGATTTAGGTTTGGTTAAGTTATCTTTAGCTCATGGGTCACATGAAGACAATTTTAGTTCAAACCGGAGAGACGTGATGTAAGAATTACATATTTATTGTTTACACGTCATATGAATGAAATGATTGCCACGATAATACAACAGGAGAATGTAATGGTGTTTGGCGATTAGGCCCCGGTTTGCAGGATAATCATTCAGGAGGGAAAGAACCGCTCCGATGAAATCCCCGGGGTCTAGACACTGGTGGTGGTGATGAGTAGGTGAGACCGGTCTGAAGGAGGAAGGTTTAGCTTTGTCCTGAAGGAGACAGGAGGCGAGAGGGGTGGAGGCGGGTTGCGTGTGATCATCTGCAATGACAACTGACAGGGAGGAAGAGCAGGCATTTAAGGAATTTAGCATGTGCAGCGATTGGCTGCTGAGGGGTGACGCCCTCGTGTTTAATGAGGGGGGAAGGGAGCCATAGAGTGACGTGTAAGTGACTCGTGTTAGGTCTTCCTTATTGAACTTGCACTAAAGCTTTCATTTGTCCCTTTGTTTCCTTTGTTTTTCTTGTGACCAACTTTTTCTTGTTTTCTAGTTGCCAAGGTTCTTATAAACACAGAGATATATATATATATATATATATATATATATATATATATATATATATATATATATAGTAAACGATAATACAATAAGAAAGACAAAAACAAAGAAAGAAAAAGATAGGGAGTCCCTCCCCCTTTCCACCCCTCATGCCATTTCAAAGAAATCATACCTGATGCTTGTTAGCAATCGTCTGAGTTAATCTATATACATATTTTAGTATAACCATTCATACACATCACATACAGAATACATTTTCTACATAACCTTTCATCTGTTTGAACTGGATTGACATTGAGTCCTAATCCTCTACCTCCTATTGAATCCTAATCCTCTACCTCTATACTATATGTTCAATCTTAATTTACATGAATGATTCAACCAGATCAGCATCTCATTTAATAGCCTCTAATGCAGGGGGGTCCAAACTGTTTTCACAGAGGGCCAGATAGAGAAAAAACACTCACCACTCACTAGAGGTACAGTCAGCAAATCAATCAGAAGTAGGTCAAGTATGCTTGATAATTGAGTATGCTTAAAGAAAACACAACACAAGCTGGTCTTTGCCTTTGTAGGCTCTTGTTCAGTTTGTTAAGATGATCAGTAAGATAACAAAAAAATGCCAAGTCTGCCAACCATAGAGGGTCGGTCAGATCATGAAGAGGTTGGTCCAATTATTTCAAAAACGGGTCGATTTCTGATCTCAGGGAATAAAACCGCTCCAGCATGGAGCCATGACTCAGCCAGCTCGCATCTGAATGGTACAGTTGGTCCCCGAATTCAGCATCAACATCAGATAGGAACTATTGAATTGACTCTGTTAGAGCCCGCATGCTCGAATTATGTTGACAGTTTTCACAACATTGTTCATCTCATTGCCGAGATGGACAGTCTCTGCTCAGACGGCTTCTAGGTGGATGATAGACTGCATTTTAACAGCCTCACCTCCACTGTCTTGCACCTTTGCGCACACCTAGAGGTTCTTCCTTTGCGCTCGCCTGTCATAGCTGGAGCCCCGTCCGTTGTAATTCCACACAGCTTGTCCTTTTATAGTCCTTTCTTGTGAAATAACCAACATGGTTTTAAAAATATCCTTACCCATTGATGTGCCCTTTAGACTCTTAAGATCATGCAGCTCTTCCACAATGCAAATGTATTGTCAACTCCCCGCAAAATGTAACAGCTGTACAGTGTCTGTGCTCTCATCACATGCCATCGAGTGAAAATCAAAAACACACACTTTGTCTGAAACTTTATGTATTTTTAAGTTAGCTGAAAAGTCTTCGGTTAAGGCCCTGTCACACTGTCCCGAAATTGACACCCGATGGAAACACGATAAAGGAAATGTTCAAATTCGGCTGTGATCGTAGCAACATCGGGTCATTCGTGAGGGCATCTTAAGCCATCGTATGACCGCCGGTGGAGTTTCTCAGGCTCCGGCAGCAACTTCGTGAGCGGCAACTTCGTAAGGCACTCGTGAGGGCATCTTGTGAAATCGTGTCATCTTCGTGTTATCATCGGTGCCATCGGGCATTCGCCCTCACTCTGATTGGGGCGAATGCCCGATGGCACCGATGATAACACGATGCCCTCACGATGGCCTTACGAAGGGCAACATTGACACACAAATTCAACACGAAAATGAACCTTCGCAAGGTCCTTCGGCAATTTTTTGGCATGCCAAAGATTTTGCCACCGCTCACGAAGTTGCTGCCGGAGCCTGAGAAACTCCACCGGCGGTCATACGAAGGCTTAAGATGCCCTCACGAATGGCCCGATGTTGTTACGATCACAGCCAAATTTGAACATTTCCTTTATCGTGTGTCCATCGGGTTGTTTTATTGCACAACAAAATCATGTAAATATATTATGTAAATAACCCAATTTGTGTTCTGTGAAACTAAAAAGGATATAAATATTATTTTGAAGGAGAGTTGACAGGAAGTTGTTGTTGCTATGGAAACAACATTACGGAGAAAACGTAATATTTTCTACATATAAAGACCGATAAAGTAAAGAACAAAGTCTGAAGATATCAGTACAGTATCATAGTACTGTAACATAATTGTTTTTGGTACTTTCATTGCAGTTGTATGTCTTAAATGTAATGTAAATGTTGCCTTCGTGTGTGGTTCGGGGCCATCTTCGTGCGAAATTCACAATTCCATATTCGTGTGTCCATCGGGTGTCAATTTTGGGACAGTGTGACAGGGGCTTTAGCCGCACAACTGTGTTTCTGGCAACCCTGTCTCCTAAAAATTACGTTCCCACAGAACTAAACTGCATTCTCAATTACGTTTAGCTAGAAACGTATTTTCTCCCACATTACGTTTGTTATGAACGTATCTTAAACACGTTTATTTTCTACATATCTTTGCCATTTATTGTCTTGCTTATAATAATGATAATAGTCATTTATAAATATCATTTTAGAGCACACATTTGAAATCAACAATCGGGCTCGATATATGGTTAAATTAAAATCAGTAGGCGAGGCTGTAATTTCTCCAGCTGTTACTCTCATGAGCGAGGCAGAACATAATAGTTTTAACATGCCAGAAAGCTGCTGTGTCGTTTATTGCACCAAACATTAAAACAAATCCAGAGTTACGTGTTTCTGTACTTCCTCTAAGAAGAAAGGACAGTAACAGAAGAGCTCTGTGCCTTCAGGCTTGATCGCCGTTAAAATGACAGCGTTGGTTTCCGCAAAAGTGGGCGGGGCTGTAAAGTGACGTAGATTTTACTATCATCCATTATTCAAAACCATTCTATTTATTCTAACGTAAATTACATGCCAGTGTTTTATGTTTTTATTTATTTGTTTTTATTTTATATCGTATAATGTCAGACTTTTTTTGCCGTCTGTGAGGAAAAGAAATGTGGCTCAGAGCCTCAAAATACTGAAATCTGTATTTCTTTTAATCTTTTTTTCCTTCCAATTTGTTATTATTTTCTAAATAACACACTGTTATTTACTCAACAATAACACACAATTATCCTTGTTTTTATTTGTTTAATTCTATAATCTTCGGCTTTTTAGCCATAAATAAAGTCACCGGAAATAGACGTACGCCTATAAGGGACATTTCGAGCGATACACAAACCCACTGAACTGATTACCCAAGATCCTCAGCTTGAAGCTCGTTGATTGGATGTTTTAGCCGCAATGCATGCTGGGATATAATGTTAATGCGATATGATATCCGAAAACATTTAAAAAAAAAAATAATAATACTTTATTCCGAGTGTTCTTGCTTTTCTCTTTGGAAGTCATCACATAACGGCATTGTAATACACGGTTCGTCTGCATTACACATATTTCGTAGTTCTCTATTCATAGAGCCCTGATGAGAAGACTTCTGGACAAACTTGAAGAACTGCCGCCAAAACTGAATATGTGACGTGGATCATAAATATATCAACAATCAAACAACATCTTACATTTATTTTCACAAAATACGTCTCCTTGCAGTATCAATAGTGATTCAGCTGACTTTTATATTTGATCCAATTGGTAGATAATAGGTTATATTTACACCATAACGGTGCACAGCTGACAGAAAAGGACTTGTCGTTTTTAAAGATATTACTGATTTTCTTTGAATATAAGAATGTAAATACCGAGTTGAGAGAATAGTCAGGGGATTTGGGTGATGGGAGACACATCTATGGAATCACAATTTCAATAGCTTACCATTCAATGACGGATATACCTTTCTGTCTGTGATGTTTTACAAATCAGATATTAATGTGTAGAAGTAAAACATGAGAAATATTATAGCAATATGCTGTAAAATTATGTGAAAACATGATAAAACTACACATCTTCAGATGTTATACATACATAAGTGTCCTACACTAATAATACAAAGTTATTATTAGTAGGCCTATGCTGTGTGTACCTTGTGTGCACCGCCTAGTGGTTAAAGCACGTTATTGTATTATTGTTGTTGAATAATGTTATTTGATGAAAAAAATATTAAGAGTACATACTTTCATAGGGGAAAGTAGAAGGTCAATGATAGAAATATAGAATATACAAAATCAAGAAGATACTATAAGTGATCTCTACAATAATACAGTTCAGTGCAGGATGTACAAAGATATTAATAGGAGGAGGTGCAAAACAGACAAACTAATTAACCTTTATTAACACATTAAAGAATACGT